TACCCTTGCAGGGTATTATAATTTCAGTCAGAAGTTTGCAACGCAGTGAAGGAGACGTTTCCGACCCTATAAAGTATATATATTCTTGATCAGCATCAACAGGGGAATCTTTCTAGATATGTCTGGAAGAAATCGATTTTTTGGCCATTTTTGCATTAAAATTAGCAAAAATGGCAAAAAATTTTGATTCCTTAAAATTTTAAATTTGGTATGCAGTTTTTTTTAATTAATAAAAACTAACACAAAACTGCTTTCCGAATCGAAATTAATGCATTTTTGGCTAAGTTATGATATATTTTAATTGTTACCTGCAAGGGTATACAAACTTTGGCTGGCCAAAGTTAGCTTTATTTCTTGTTAAAATTCTAATTAAATGTTCTTATTAACAAAGTATACGCCAAATTATGAGTCATTACTTTTTAGTAATACCTGAAATGAAATGACAACAAACAAAAATAAAAATAAAAAACTCCAACAGCTCATTCTGAATCTGTGCTGACTGGTGCGATTCATTTAAAATTTTGGAGTTCCATTATTATCCAAGCCATTTGTTGCTCACGAACAATGAGATATTACTTTATGGCTTAACGTGTCATATAGATAGATGTACGGCTGCAATCAATTAGTTAACCTATCAAAATTGCATAAGTTTGGAATAAACAATGGCTTTACAAGAAGCGGGATAATAAGTTGATTACGGTTTTATATCAGCTGTGTTTTCGTTCTGCTGATATCACGCAAGTGATTAACAATTTGCTAATTATCAAAAATATTTATATTACTTTATAAGCCATCAGTCAGAACGATTCGCTGTATATATTTTTCGGCGAAACTGATTTTTATTCGTTTACGATACGATTTTCACACGTCTTCCAATTTCGTTCGGCTCGTTTATTAAAGTTTATTGCTCGGTTCTTTTGCCATAGACAATTTGTTTACCGCTTCCAATGATATAAATTGAATTTCCCCTTTATTCATTCCGGAATTCGAAGACCCATAAAAATTGGCTACCGAAAATCGATTGTTTACATAAATGTACCACAAATGGAAAATAATATAAAATATGTATCGAAAAGATCGTATCCGTTGAATTTGTATATATATGCTGTATATTGGGTGTGATAAATCGTCAAAGGCATCGTTTATTTTCGTAGTCATATTACCAAGATGTTTATCTAACAATCTCTCATTCTCTATCTTGTAAATTTTAATTCCTGGCCGGGGGATCTTTCTAAAATTAGTTTTTGTTTGTGAAAATCATCTTAACTTGTTTATATTTGCGAATATAAAACTGTAATTGGCGGCTAGTCTTGTGTTTTGCATCTCGTTTATTATTTCCCCAGTACCTGCAATCAAGCAGACCAATTAAACGCGAATTATACCCAAATTGCTTTCGACATTTTTGGGTAAGTAAATTAACTGATATTATAAATGCTAAAAAGGGCAGTTACAACCCAAAGTGTCATCTTGTTGACTTTACTTATTTGAACTCCCTATTATTTTTGTGCCTAGACAAGACATTTTCAGTGGAAATAGATCTGTTCATAGAAAGCAAGTTTGTTTTCGTGGATGGCATCCACCCTTAACCAGTTACAGGCAGCTTTGGTTAACCCTCAACTGCACTCATTAACACCTCTCCAGGCCGCTTGTATTTGGACTACTGTCGATTTCTGTCTAATTGATCGAATCAACACACGGCGGAAGCACAGATAAATGTATTGTTTTATGGCTAAAACTAAATATTTAAGACTCGGCAACTGCGTTGTATAACGACGACGGTCCGTTGCTAATTAATTCGAATCTAATGACAGCCATATATAACCTATTACACGGTAGATAATGTCTCCCCAATGGCAGGGAACTCGACTTGGACTCTTAATGGGTGCCAAGAAGACAAAATGGCCATGCGCTATCGCTTTGTGGGCCAGTGACATTATTTGACACTCGTTTATTAATTGAATTAACTGCTTTATACCACTTTAAAAAGGTTTTCGATCGGGCCGCGTGAAGGAAGTCCACACAAATCGACAACAATCTAGATTCGATCGCTTGCGACTGGGTTTGGGAATACCTGTCCTTGGCGTCAATTGCTGTCGGTCGCCTTACAATATTCGACGGCTGTCGTGTCGATAAAGCCTCTTGTATCTGGCTTTGTGCTAAGTGTTTGGATCAATATATATCAGCTAACACAATTGTCATATAACACTTGGATGGAATGTCACTGATCATAGGTTGAATATTGAACAATATCCTGGAGTACGTTTGCCATCTTTCCAATATTTAGAGAGGGATTTCTATTAATTGATTTAAACCTTATCACGATCTTCCTTTGCTTGCATTATTTTGGTCTAAAAACCAACAGGAAATCATAGTTAAAATTATACCTTACACTGTCTAAAGAATATCCTTTACTTATCTTTTGGGTAAAGACAGTCGATGCTTGAAGTATAGGCGCCAATCTGAATTTGAAACATATTTTATTGTTGTTTTTTTTTTCTATTGCCTAATTAGTCAATAATTCCTAAAAGAGCACGTTTATTTTTCTGTCCCTTGCTTCCATTTGTGATATTTGAGACCCGCTAAGCTTGATCGGATGCAAAGGAAATCGCTTAAAAATAACACCCACTTGTTGTGGCGCAGGTCATTACCTTAGCGATGATTTAGCAGGGTATATTGGTATTACATTGGTTCCTATAAAGCACCTCCAATAATAGAAAATAGCTTTACAGTCGAACAGTAGTGATACTAATCAATGTCTTAATTTTAAAACTATTTTAAACAATATTGTTATTTGAACAAAAAATACATTGAAATCTATAACACATATTTGCATTTTTTAAGCCTTTCAACATTATGAATATGATCTCACTGCCGTTTCAGTGCGTTCAAAGCGATTGCAATGAACTCTACCGAAAATAACAATTATAGGCCATCGATACCTGTTGTTACTCGGGTCACTTCCGGCAGGCGGAGCTGTGCTCCTGGTTGCAGCTCCAGCTCCCATTAGCCGAAATTGCAGTAACGCCTGCCGTGCGGGGATTTTCTCTAAAATTCCGATCTACGGAGAGTTGTCATCATCGCCACCGGCTCTGTCATACCCGAGGCAGTAGAAAGAGGCAGAACCGATCCGCTTCATGTCAGTAGTAACTTGTTCAGCGCCAGCTAGTCTCATTGTATCGCATCTCTGGGTCTCGGGTGTCTACTATAGATGTCTGGCTGAATGTCTGAACGATCGGTTCGAGTGGCTCCGGAAGGGGTGCCGGTCCAAGTGCGACAATTGATGGTAAGCACCCCAGTCACACCAGCACATAGCCCCACTCGGATGCCAAATCGTTGGCAATCAAATGCTTAATTGTAATAATTATACGAATTTAATAATTTCAGGCAGCGTACTGTTCATAGGAGTCAGTGCTGAGCAATAGTTTGGCACGCTCAGATTCAGATACATCATTATATCGAAAAGTATTTGAACCAAACACACAAAATCTTTAATAATTTCCATGATATTTAAGAAGAAAGATACATAGATAGAGCTGCTTAAAGAAAATTCAGATAAATTTAAATTCGATTTAGCATGTAATATGATCCGATTTTCACTTTAAAATAATCTTTTTTTTTTTCGGTGTGAACACTTTCTCGATTACCTGTCCCGGTTTGTGTTTGTTTTTTATTTAAAAAACTTAATGCGTAATTTAAATCTTCGAATGGGGGTCATCTGCATAACGGTTCCCCAGCCTGTTTGCTAAATTATTTAATTTGTCGTTTTAAGGGCCGACATTAACTCTGAATAACTGACAAACATTTCTCAGCTAATTGCAGTTTATATTCTCATTAAGGTTAAGGACTTAATGGGGGCTTTGAAGTGTGTTGATGTTGAGTTAAAAGAGCCGATAAGGAAGGCCTCTATATGGACTAAGCGCCTGTAAATAAATTAATATAAAACTGATTCAAAATATGTTAATAAAATATAGGCTTCTAGATAACCTTTAAACCCGCTTATAAAACCTTTTCTAGTGAAATGGTTTTGCGTCGCATTTTAAGAGCCTAGTTATCATAAGTGGAATAGGGTTTATACAAGACTGTATAGTATTTGTGTATATCAAATAAAAAATGCGCTGGAAACCAATTAGCCAAATCAAACCAGTACGAAGGGGATTGGTTTGGACCCGGTTTGCAGCCATGTTTACAATATTGGTATCTGCTGGTGAGTTTATTAATTTATATTATCTTTTTGCAGTGCTGCTATCAACAAAACACAGGTATATGTAAACAATGCATTACAGAACTCTCAGACTCAATACAAATATGCGAAATACTTCGGTCAAGGGCTTATTGAAATTTGAAAGAATAATTAAATTGCAATGCTTACTACTTAAAAATAAAATAAATTGCAGATTCAAACTATTTAATAATAGCATATTACTGCTTTGGGTAAATCTTTCTTGGATAAAATACGTAATTTATAACATCACCTTACCTTTATCTTATCAAGCAATTAAATGTGACATTTACCGTGTGTTATTCCCGGCAATTGTAAAGAGTAAGATAATATTTTACTAACCCATAAATGTGTTATAAGAGTTCATGTATACTTTGTAAATAATAAATAAGTTTTTAAGTTAATAAGTATAAGTTAAAGAAGGTACCTTAAACAAGAAAGAAAGCTATACCCGATACCCAAAGATGAGAGCGTTCATTTAATAGTAGTTCCTTCAATCAATTCTATTGTTTAAATATATCCGAATATATATCAACGTTTTCCTTCAATAACATTTTTGTTCAACTTTGAATTTGTTTTAAATATTTATTTGGTGTTGCATAAACGATTTACACATTCAAAACATTTAAAATTCAAATTCCACTACTAAATACGGTTTGTTCTTGAATTTCATTTTGATGCTTCACATTTATGCTGTTAACTTTCACACTGAATCTTATAAATATAATATGTATACATATATACTTTTAGTTTTGTTTTAAAAATTTCATTTAAGCTTCTCTGGGATTAACTTTCGTTTTGTTTAATTAATTGCTTCTCTGGATGGGCCCTTCCTTAGCAGGGTTCTGGGTCCACAGTGGCAATCTTAAGTTTTGGTTTTCTATTCAAGAGAAAATATAAGGTGTATAAGTTGTACGGGCAATCGGAGCTTTCAGTTGAGGCAAGACTATGGCCAGATCGAAAATCGGGTTTGAGATCAGTTTAGATGAGTATAGTTTAGTAAACATCTGGTAACAATGGGTGGGTCTTGTGATGAGTCGAAGCTATTGCAAAAGTTTCTGGTCTCACGTTCAACGAGTTGAGAATGTTAGTAATCTTAAGAGATGGGTATTCTATTAAGTGGGTCAGAGGAGAGTTCTATCGAAATGCGGTAAACAGCTAAAGCGAGATATAGGGTCTAAGAGGGGCAGTAAGCACATTGAAAGCGTTAAATCTGATGGAAATCCTAGTACTCCCGGTATCCCTTCACTCTCGTAACAAATTCATCGAAAACTCCAAAAACTTAATAAGCTATCCAATAAATACACCTAGACTCTGATATAACAGATTATTGCGGGCACAGGACCGTCGTTCCGGCAACGAATAAACTCCAAACAGGTGCGTACAAATCATACGAGTTCCTCCGCGGTCCCGGCCATCGTGGCCATCCGGCGATAACAAACGATTTTGAGTTCTTGAGCAGTGTCTTGAGCAATGATAATACTGATCCTATATACTAGCTGCCTTGGCAAGTGTTAACTTAGACGACCAAATGCGAAACGTCGCTGGTGTAGCCCGGCGAGTACCGCGGCGGCAGGACACTCTGCTGGGGCCGTGTCTTGCCCAGCATGGGCATGGGCATCGCCGGCTGGCCGGCCGCCATCACCTTGGGGCTCTGGCCGGGCTTGCCCAGCTCGTAGGGCCGCCGAATGCGAAGCACGTCGGCAGCATCCCCGGGCCAGGCTCGCTCCGGGCCCAGCCGCTGGCCCAGGCGAGGATACCGGCGCTTGTCCACCGCCAAACTGATGGTACCCGGTGGGTGCGTCGAGTTCAGGCCGACGTTGTACTGGCGTTGCATCGCCAGGGACGCGCGTATAGTTTTCCGTTTCTGGAAAGGAGCAGAAAGACGTAAATCAATTTAAGAAAGTGTTCCGCTTTGAAGGGTTCTCACCTCGATAGTGCCACGCCACTTGTCCGCCGCATGTCGGGCAATGTCCAGGCGCTTCTGCTTCTTCACCTGGTGCTTCTTATAGATGACCTCGATGATGATCAGACCCACGCCGCCGGCAATGCCCACGCCCACCAGTATGAACACCCCCGCCATGTTTTTCAATCCCAGAGTGTTGGGCGTTTTCTCAAAGAGCTCGCAGTTTTGCTGGACATGACCATGGAAGATCCACTGCTTGTCCAGCTTCTCCATGAAGCCGCCTAAAAAGAGGAAAAAGGTAGATCAGTAGAGTCTCATATATCAGCCTAATGTAAGACATACTCTCGTGAAACTCCAGGATGGCCAGAGTAACCGCATCCGTCCAGGGCGAACCCTTTTGCAGTCCAATTCCGTAGCCACTTCGTCCGAATAACTCGCCGGCAGTGACCAGCTCGCAATCCTTGGAAGCCTCGTACTCCAGCCGCGAAGAGTCCCAGATGAAGGCCATCAGCTTGCTGTGGACAGAGGCGTAGATCAAGGAGATCACGTGTTAAAATTATGTTTGTTTAAGTGGGATAAGGATAAGGGCACAACAAGTAGGTATAAATGTTTACGTAACAAGAAAGATTGGTTAGCTTCGGTGGACCGAGGCTTCCGATATCCTTGCATATTCTTCAAAATGGAGATTCTAGGAGAATTATAGGAGATCTTTCTTTGAATATACTTATTGCAGATCTTAATGTGATGAATTTATTTGTCAAGAAAATATAAATAGATATATAATATACTGTGAAAATTCCATGATGATACGTTATAAACCCTTTCATTTATTTCTTAAGACTTTATGAAATAGGTTTCCTAATACGCATACATTGAAATATAAAAATCACAAAATATATGTAACTCTTTATATGAAGATCGGATATTAATTATTACTTCCAGTTAATTTAGATCAAAGATAAACCTATAAAATTGTAAACCATTTCGGATATTTGCAAGGATTGAAAGACATGAAGATGCTAAGATATAGGAACACAAGATGGCTTTGGGGGCGTCTAAGTACGGGGGCAAGACCAACACGAACACGATACGGCTAAAGATTACAATACATTATCTAATAGATCGAAACACAGAGAGATATATATATAGAGAGAGAGAGTAGGATAGAGAGACAGAGAAAGTTAGAGACAGTGGCGTTAGGTGGACTGAACAGAACTGAACTGAGGTGGCGTTTGAGAGTTTGGAGAGTGATTTGAAACTGTAAAAAGTTGTGGTGGTTGTTGAGTTGTTGTCTGGATCTGGAACTGGATCTGGACAGTGCCATGACATGCGATGCTACGCTCAGCTACGGAAAAGATCGCGGCCACGACCTGAGCCACAACGGCACGTTACCCCTTCTTCACATCCTGGATGGCCTGCTCGGCGGTGGCGTAGTTATTGGCCTCCATCGTGCGGTACATGTTCGAGAGCTCCACCTGACGGCGGAAGTACATGTCCACCGAGGAGCCCTTGACGGTGGCGCAAGTAAGGTTCTCCATTGTATTACGCAGTCGGGCATCGTTGATGCCGCTAAGCTTGGTCTTGGGCCGCTCCAGCACGAGGAAGGCGGCCAGGTTGGCGGTGTACGAGGCGACGATGATCATGGCGAATCCGGCCCACACCATGCCGAGCACGCGGGCGGAGAAACTGCGTGGCGTCCCCTCCCCAATCCCGCTGTTGAGAAGCACGCCCCAGGCGAACCACACAGCGGAGCTAAGGTTCAGGGCCTTCTCCTCGTTGCTGTCCGAGTGCGAGAGCTTGAAGCGTCCGAACGGCGAGAATCTGAGTTCGGAAATTGGAAAGAAGTGGTTATTAAGGTTTCTGACATCCGGTTCCGGCAGTTCCAGGCAGGCGGGGATTAACTGGGCGGGAATCAGCTACGATCGCTGCCATTCAACCGTCCAATGCAACGACCTTTAACAATTGTGTGCTTCGCTTTTAGGGCTCGGGGTTCAGGTTCAGGATGGGGTTCGGAGACGGGGATTCACTCACCTGTCCAGTAGGTAGAGCACGAGCGCCACAACATGGACCGACACCATTACCAAGATCCATAGCGTGTTACTAAACGGCTGCAAGAAAGACACGAGAGTACTCGATCGTGACGGTTTCTTCTCGAGTATTGTAATGCCTTGGTATTTGAATGGTTTCGAGAATTCTATGTACTCGGCACGCTCCGGATTGATGGTTAGTGGTGCCACGATCATGCTAACATAAATGTAGATCCGGATTAACATGGTAGCTACTACAGCTGGCTGTCCGCCAGGAAACCCCATTGCTTACTCGGCACGTTCGTTGACCAGCTCTCCGATGAGGCCCGTCCACTCCTTGCGCAGCGTCATCCCAGAGTGGTTCCGCAAGATATAGTGCCCGAACTGGCCGTCGGGGGACAAGGCCAGGTCGTAGGTAAAGTTGATCCGCTTGGACAGCTCGATGAGCAAGTCTATGCAGTAGCCGCGGCAGCAGAACTCGTTGGCTGTTGGAAAACCATAAAGATGTTGATATAACTTAAGGGTATTTAACCTATTTTCCCCCATATATTTTTCCTTGTAAGGATAAGAATTCCCCCCTTCAGATTAACAACTCGCTCACCTGTGGCATCCGAGGCATTGAACAGTGGACACGGTCGCTCGTCCGGCTCGCAGCGAAACTCGTCGTCGCCCATCCGCCGCACGTAGACGAAGGGTTTCTCTTCGATGGTCAGCACCTTGAGGTGCGTCGGTATCATGATGCCCTCCGGCTTCCGTCGCTGCTTTCCCGGCCAGATGATCTCGCTGTCGTTGATCCTCATCCGCATCTTGGCCCGCATCTGAAAGTGACATGTGGTTAAATCAAGGTCTAAAATCTCTTCAAGAAACTTACGCTGTCATAGCTGAATTTGCCCACCACGTGCTTCTTTTGCTGCTCCCGGATGTTGATTACGTCGTAGCCTGCGTAGATGCGATCCCCGTTGTCATCAAAGGCCACCTGGCCCGTCTCCCCAGTGATGTTGCGGTTCTTGAGGTACTGAAACAGTCGCTTGCCTATCAAAGATTAAGAGTAAATATCAGTTGGTGTTTGGGAACCAAGCGAATATGTTAAGATCCAGGGATCTACGCACCCGACTCCCAGTTTACGGCCGAGTCGCCACAATCCTTCGGAGCCTCGGCAATGGTCTCGTTGGAAATCATCTCCTTGATGGCCGAAGCCAAGACGTAGACACTGTCCTGGAGGCAGAGTTACAAAATCATGCATAATTGAGATGCGGAGGAGGCAAACACTTACCCTAATGTGTCCCTTGTCGCTGTGGGCATGCTCCAGCTGGAGGCCTAGCACTCCGTCCGGTGTGTTGTTGGCGAACAGCGCCTGCTCCGTCACAATCCAGACATGCCCCTCGCCGGTCATGTTGTATTCCCCAGCATCGCGGAAGATAACTTGGGCATCCTCGGTGCTGCGGGCGATACGAAACCACGAAACACTTATGATAATGCTTGGATTTCTGAATGCTGGGGGTATTTTAAGCGCAATATACGGATTGCATTTTGAATTAACATATAGTTTAAGGCATTTAGCAAAGGGATTCCGACTTTGAAAGCTTTATAAATAGTTAAAACTTTAGCAGAAGAACTTTCAGAGTGTCATTTTTAAATTATTAAATAAGTAAATACAAGAGGTCGGGTTCATATTAAAGTTGTATTTACATTACAAAAGGGAAAGGAAATTTGATTTAAATAATAAAATATCAACAGTGTAATAATCTCTAAGATTTTATGTATACTTATGATTAGGTTTGTATTTAATTGTTTAAATTTGTGAAAAATAGCAATAAAATCTCAATTCAGTTCTTAAGATACTAATATATTTTTATATATCTCGCAGCCTCGCAGTAATAGTAATAATCAACATAAACCCCATTATTTGCCTTCAATTGACGAGAGCCGGTAACGACCAGTTGCCGAGGCAAAGGCACGCCCATGGTGGACTGCAATCTCAGTAATCTTGTGTATATCGCTTTTCCATTGAAATCAATTTACGGAGTACAACATAAAATCACTTTATTGAGAATTGACAACAATTGACCGACACGCTTTAGTATTCAAATTTAACCGTCACCCGGGGCAAAGCGATTTATGTGGACATCTTGATTGTACAATAATAAACGGCAATACTGTATAAATTCCATTTAAAAATAGGTTTTACGAGTTGGAAATGTTTAATTTATAAATCAGTTTTATAAATGATCCTAAAAACAAGAGGTAATAGATAAATGTAAATATATCCTTGAGAAATATTTATAAAATTAAAGAACTAATAGCTAATGTAACTCAAGATTGGAAAATATTGAAAATTATAATTGACATACAAAATATTACTTCAACATTATTGATTCATTTTTTATTAGAGAAAACATTAGCATAAATCTCTAATGATATAATTATTTCCATTAAGAATCGACACAAACATAAAATCTCAATTTCTTTCTCTATGTAAATAAAAACCTCTCCCATCTATCATTAAACTACCAGACCTCCACCCCTCCAGACTGCTCAACTTGATCCAAATATGAACGAATTATTTACGCAAATTTGCGGGAACGGTACTCACCTGGCGTACATCAGGTAGACCCTGGACTGGGCCGTCTTCATGTCAATGAGGTGTTCGGTGAAGCTCTCCAGCTTGGGCTCGAACTCGACAATCAGCTCCACTGTGGCGCGCACATCGACGTCGTCGTAATAGGTCTGGGATGTGGTCTGGAAGCGACCCAGGATGGCCCGGCCGTCCGTGTCGGAGCTATGGATGATGATTACCTGTCGCCAGTGGAGCAGATAACGGCACAACTCAATAAGTCAATAAGTCAAATTTTGGCGTCCCGACTAAGTGGAATGGGGCGGAGATTCCATACGCACCTTTGTGTAGGCAAAGTGGCTGAGCATCTCCAGCCAGACATCTGCCTGATGGTAATAGGGGGGCACTGTCCTCAGGAAGGAGACGTGGATGTTCTTGTCGGAGAAGGCCGCATCCCGCGAGGATATGCCAATGACGGGAATTGAATAGAATCCGCTCGTATAGCTCACGGCCGCCGGCGACAAATCACCTGAGGTTTGCTCATGCGAAACGACTACGGCGTACACCTGCCAAATAGTGGGAGGAGCACCCAGGAGGAAATTATGGTAAAGGATGGCGGGGAATAAACCAAATCAGTGGAAATGAAATGAGCAATGCCAAGGTAGATGCCAGAGGAAGGGAGTGAAGGCCTAAGACAGGCAGCGGAAGTGTAAATGGCGCCGGGAGGACGTTCAATTGGCTGAGTAAAATACATTTACAGTGCGTTTCACAACGCTATAATTTTAGTTTTATCTTGAGTTAAAAAAATATAAAAACTAATTGAATCTATTTCTGTAGGTCTTCTTTATATATTTATTGCAGATTAATAGATACTGTATTTTTCTGAATTATTAAACATATACATACAAAGAGGATGGACTAATATTTTTGACTCACACCTTATAGACTGAGGCCCCCCGTGGAGTCAATGACAGTTGATTTGCTTCCTTCGGATGGCACGAGTAATGAAAGGTTCCAAATGGACGCACATTTCGGGGCCAAGCGATGATAAATTCGCTCTGGCATTAATGATGACAAATGCCGCCCCGAAACACAGGCAGGAATTGATTTGGACCTGGTCTAGTGGGTGTTGACTTCTGCTCCGGACAGCCTCCCACAGGGACAGTTGCCAGACAGGAGCTTCTTCGTGATAAATGTGCTATAATGCCCGATGTGTGATTGATGAAATCCGCAGATAATTCACGGATGTAGTTTGCCCGAAAAAAGCCAAAAATGTGCAAAAGTTGGCAGCCAAAAGAGCATTGGGGCTCTGAGTGGATTTCTTACGAGGTCTCCACTTGGCCTGGGTGCAATGCACTTTGCAGCGCTGAAAGGCTCTTCGTCATTAGGATTTTTTGGACACTTTTGGTTTGTGCATGACGGCGTTGATTAATTGCACGAGAAACCAGTTTGAATTTGAGAAGTGCTGGCTGATCTTACTGCCATTTAATGTAACTACAGTGACTTGAGAAAGTTTTTGGCTTAGAAATGTATTGCAAAAAAATAAAGATAAATTATTTAAAGGGAATTAAGAATATAACGATTTTGAAAACTAGTTGGTTTACTCTGCAATTTTTAAACCTAAAAAAAATTAGTTACATTAAAAAAGCAAAGCCAAAATCAAATTTATTTCTTAAGTGCTTTATATTCCGAAACTCCATCATGAAAGCCAATTATCATCGCTAATTGTGAATATAAGGAAGCACCAAGATGCGAAACCGAAACCTAACCAACTGGAAGCTGGGTGGATATTGGAATCTGGTGGCGCATTACCGTTTGTCATCACGGCATTTCCGAATCATTTCCCTCTGAATTATTGAAATGAGGCCCAGCCAGGCTCAGGCCCCGGCCGGGATATACATATATATCCTTTCAGGCCCCATGGCGATGGATGGTGTGAGCGGAAGTGGAAAGGTAATTGCATTTGGCCGCCGACTTACTCGGTTCTCGATGAGCTTGTCGCACACGTTGAAGACCGTCTTGATGGGATTCTTGTCCATGCGAATGGTCTTGTCGTAGTAGGTGACCTTGCGCGGCACGTACTGCTGGTCGAAATTGAGGTGCTGCGGGTCGGGATAAACGGGGGCGTGGGTTAAAGCGAATCTAAATGGGAAATCCAGTTAGCTAATGCGACTAAGCTCTTGCCTTTATTGTTGTGCTAAAGTGCTCCTCGCTGTCGGAATTGCTCAGAACGCCGCCAATATTGTACGTCGAGGGATTATCCGAGGCGGTGTGCCTCTGGGCGGCGGCAATCGGCGGCGGCATTATGGCTAGCAGAACAATGGCCGATCCGAACAAAAGCCGGCTTTGAACAAAGCCCACGGCAGCCATATTGCAGCGCTCCTTAAGTTTTTGGGGGAGGGAATACGAGGTGCTTTGTGAGATGATTTCAATTGTCTTCCCGGCAAACATTCAGCATTTTCTGTAAGAAAACAAAGTTCGTAATATTAACTCTCTATTTAAACAAGTGGAGCAATTTAAAACAAAAGAGTTGGCATTTGAATTTATATTTTATACTGTTTGTTGTCAATCTTTAGCCAAAGATGAACCTATTAAATGTGTAGAATCGGAAAACGTAAAACGGTTTCATAGTTTTATTATATTATTATATGATATTTTAATATTATATATTATATATGTATGTTCACCTTTTATATATAGGGAGTATTTGTACATTTTATTTGTTATTTCAATGAACCACTCATTTTTTATATAGCTTGCCATAGCTTGTTTCTTGATCATTTCAGTTCTTCATTTCTTTGTGTAAACCTTTACATCTATTCCACAATATTTGATGATTATAATTTATAAATATAAGAAGTTAACAATTAATATATTTTCAAGATCTATTTAATTTCTTAACGGTTGAGCACTCTCAATGATCGTTTAGTGCTGCCAGATCAAGAAAAAAAGATCGGTGAGATGTTTTAGGGTGACCACTTGATCTCTATTTTACATGTAATATGTATATACCCCTGTGTTCTGCAGTATCATCAGCAAATTATCAGTAATTCATCAACATACAGGATCATTGATGAGAGTCCACAAAAATTACTGATAAAGTTAAGATGGATATGTCCTGGGCAGTAAAAAAATGCTGCTAACTGAATAACGTTGATGAAACTTTGATAAAAACGGCCTATTGATGACATGTGGTACTGTGGTACCATAATATGACCTGGTTGCTTTCGGAGACTTATCTCTGTAATCAAATCCAGTTGGATTTAAATGATCGGAAAGATAATGGATAATATAACCAGGGCTTCATTGAAGAAGCATAAATGTTTAACGGTATTATACGTTTTTCGACGGCGGTCACACTAACCGATCATATGGCTGCTTTGGGACACTTGTTGCTTTCGTGTTTTCGCTCGGACGTGTTTTCCGCGTCGGTCCGCTTATCTGCGCTGCGCTGGCACTTCGGTGGTGAGAGGGACGGAACAGCGGACGGACGGTACGACTCGCTCTTCGCGCATGACGCGGCGCCCTGGAAAATTGCACTTTCGTACGGTTCGCGCGGCTAATTTATGGCCAAAATGATGGCCAATTTATCGGCCTGAATGCGGTGGGCGGTGTGAGTGTGAGTTTGTGCCTGGAAAAGTGCGATATGTGCGAAAAGCTGCGGCTCGGAAGCGAAATCGTTTGAGAAATCGACTGTCGAGCTGCGTTGCGCGTTTTGTTTGCCTTGCCTGGCTTCGCTGCTGCTGCGCTGCCGTTAGGTGGGCGCTCGGGGGCGGGACAGCAATTGCTGGCGTTGTTGTTGTTGCTCGCTCTTTTCGCCTCTCTTTCTTTTTAACCGGAATTGTTTGTCGCGTGTTTTTTACGGCTGTGTCTTATTGACAACCAAAGCTCTGCCGGCGTCGCAGCCCGAGCATTGTTATTGTTATTGTTATTCTTAGTGCTAGGGTTGGTGTTAGTGTGTGCGGTTTCTGTTGTTTCTGTGCGCCATATTCCCCTTTTATTGTCGCACTGCACGCTCCTTACAGTGAACGAAACTAAAGCAGCACTATTTTTCAATATTTAAGTCATTATTCTTATCACGAAAATATAAAAATATATACATATAATTCTGACTAATAATCTTTGAATAATTTAATTACTTCTAACAAATCAAAGAATGATTGAGACGTTTGAACATTAATTTTCACAAAAATTCAATACAAATTAAAAAATAATAACAAATTCTAAATTTACAGCGTGAAAGACAACCAAAATAAATATATTATAATCAGTAATAGTGCGTCCACTTCGTAGAGCGTGCACTGTACTCTCTGTTTGTGGCCAAGTGCGCGCACTCAAGGTGAAAATATATTAAGTTCTTTCAAGTGTTTGCACATCAAGTTCGATTTGAATAAAATACATATAAAATCAAATTCGATTTACGATCGTCGTTCTGTCATCGGATGATTCAATCTCTCTGGGCCGTATCGCTCATTTCGGATACAAATCTACATCTACAAATTATTTGCAGTAAGTACTCTAACCGCATAAACGCTCCAGCAACCTGTTGCCCTTTCGCTTTGAGCAATTTTCTGGTTTTTCTGGTTTCCCAAAGGGCTTGCCACCGCTTTAACTGGGTCATAAGGCCATAAGCTCTGCGGTATCACGCATTTCGGCTGGGCCAGAGCTAATTACCTTTAGCCAGATAGCTATTATCTGGCAGTCACGCCCTCGCCCAGTGCCGCCAGTTCATTTTGTTGAATAATTGAAAGGAAATCAAAGCGCAAAATGCTAGAAAACCTCGCTGATTCAATTACAATGCAAAGGCAAAGGCAAAGGCAAAGGCAAAAAAGCAAAACAGAAAAGCAAAAAGAACACCTTGCACTCTCGCTTTTTCATCTCTAGGGAGAAAAGAGTCTTACACAGGGGAAAATTCCACTTAGTACGCATAAATTAAAAGTTGAATTAAATATTTTTTATTATTTATAAGTATTTTCCAACATTTGTAGAAATACATTCTTGTAAAAGTAAGATTTTGCGAATAGCACACAGATTTTGATTTTTTATCAATACAATTCCTTAGATTAGAGGTGACCTAAGACCTGACTCATGAGTCTTCAATATTTTATATTTATTTTAATCATATCTGACTCAATTTCATTTACAAACACTTAATATCTGTGAAATATCAATTAAATAATATTTAAAATATAAATACAAATTTCAATAGTAAATCAAATCTATAAGATAGTACTTCAAGTCTTCTGGTGTACTTTCTCTCAGTGGAGCCTGCCCCCCCAATATTGTGGAGGGGTGACTGAGAGAGGAAGAACGGCTGACAGGGCCGACGCGTGCTTAATTAAGCGCCACATTGTTGACTGCCGGGCAGGTACTGCGAGATAGAGCGAGATAGTGGCAGCTGCGAAAAACGAGAGAGGCCCCCAAAAAAGAGACAGAGCGCGACAGAGGGGAGGCGGAGCAGCTGGAGATGGAGCTTTCTCGCCTGCAATCAGTGAGTTGTGCTCAGTGTGGGGGCAAAGGGGAAGCAGAGGCATTCATGCAGGCTGCTGCACGCGATGATTTCAATTTAATTGCGTGGCATAAAGATGGCTTTTCATCGCCAAATTGCATTTTTCGCAATCGCAAGAGCACACTCAAGTAACTCTTAATGGCCAACTAATAATGTTCGAGTTAACAGACATGTGAGCATACAATTACGACCAATTATTTGCCCATTACCACATTTTGGTGAATTGCTTTATATTTAATTGAACAGCTCAAACAAGCGTAGTTAATAGAGTATTTTTTTGTATTTTTTCCGAGATATTATTTGTACGATTCAAAGTCCACTTAATTAGCGTATTTAGTATGATCAGCAAGATGGCAGGAGAGTTTTACATTAAAATGGGTATGAATTAATTTTAATATTTTAATTTTTTTAAAAACCATATTATGATTTCATTTATAGTGATTTTAAGCTAATTTCTCTTAAATCTTGAAGTGTAACTCAAGATTTCGAAATATTTTATGATGAAATAACAAAGCTCACGGTTAAAATACATTTTTTCAACGTTTACTTTCCCTTTGAATGCAGTAAAAGCCCCTTTTCAACCCTTATCTGTTCTTAATATACTTAAAACCATGAATTTTTATTATCATAAAGCTTTAAAAATATTACTTCGTCCATAAAAATATCAATCATTTGCTGTCAATTATGTGATTATTAAGAATGCAATGAGAAAATCAATGCTTATCAGTTATGATTTCATTTTTCACTTCTTGGATACAACTTGAACAATTCTAGATAACAAACTAATTTAAAAATATTGGTATATATTTTATGGGTCGACTTATTAATCGATTTCACATGAACTGTTTATATTTAGTCAAAAAGTCAACTGAAGTTCAATTAACAGGGCACTGGAACTAATGATTAAGTTGGAGAGCCCACTTCAAGAATCATTAAGTGATTTGAAGTATGTGGTTCTTTATTAACGCACTTTGAATTGAGATAGCGTAGACACAGTTGTGGACAAAATGTTAGGCGGCATTCCAACTGAAAATTCAATTAAATTTATAAATTAAAATTTATTTATGTCAGATATATCTCAATGTACTCAAAGTGCCATATTATAATTCTTAATTTTAATACACCATCGACCCAAAATGCATATTCTTATTTATTTACATATGCTGCCCATCGTCATGTGCATAATTTGAAGCTGGGAAGAGGGGAGGAGATGGCGCCTGTGAGCGCCACCAATTAACATAAATAGTCAAATTGTGTAAGCGACGTTTTCATGTTATAAATAAAATATACGAACACTCACGACCACAGCCCCATTCATGAGATATGCAACCCAAACTCACACCCAACACACACTTGGCTGCAATTAATGTGAGTGCGGCTCTGAGTGTATGTGTGTGCGCCCGGAAAGGTCGTGTGTGTTATCAATGAAGCGGAGTGAATGCGGAAAATGGGGGAAAAGAGCTCTCTCCGGCTTGTCTCTTTGTATGTGTGTGTTTTCCTCTTTTTGCTCAGGTGAGCCGAGATCTCTTGAGCTTTTCAATAGCTTTTGGAGGCCAGACGGGGCCCAGACCTTAATAAATAGCCAAATTACACAAAAAACGGGCGTAAAACACGAGTCGTAATTAATTCTTTGCCTTGCCTGAGGGTCCGCTTTAATGGCCGGAATAAAATTTTTGAAGCCCTTTCGTTAAATTGTTTTTCATCGCCTCCCACCTCCAAATGCTTTGCACTTTATTACTCATTCGCCATCTGCACTCATTTCCTATTAATACCCATAAATAGTTGATTAGACTTCAACGGTCTTCAAGGGCACCCAGAAACTCTCGAGTTCAGCTGACTAAACAGTGCACCGAATTTCCCCAAGGAAACCCCTCGCCGTCCCCTGCTGTGAAGTGTGGCTGAAACAATTCCCACATGCAAACGGGTAACAGGGTATAGGAGTAGACTCACTATCAGCGAACCGAACAGTCATGCCAACATAGGATGTCATCGAAAGGGAACGGAATCGCCTCATGGCCCGTACTTTCGAAATAGTTTCATATGAATTTCACACTTCGATTTGTTTGCTATTCGAATTTTTACATGTCCCCTTACAAGGCAGTTAATGAACTTTGAGTGTACCAAAAAGAGTATTTATGGGTAGTATTACTGAAGGGTTTGTTATAGTTATAATAATTCGTTATAAATATTCAATTTAATATAAGAATAATATTTTTTATAAATTCCTTTACCTAAACAAAATAGTGAATCGAAAACCCATCTGTATTTAAATATAATTCGTTGGTTTTAAATAAGGTTTTATTATTATGTCATATTCCAAACCATTTTCTGATATATTTAAACACATTAATGAATAATAAATTTACTTTGCAAGAAACCTGCCTTTAGAAAGGGTATCCCAGGCTCGGTGCAACCCCCGATATATTCTGTTCGGCAGTTTTGTTTAACCATTTAACATAGCGAACGTGCCTTGGCTAACATTTTATTCAATTTTCGTTGTGGCAGCATGTGTGGGGCTTGCAGCCGGCGAGGTTCATTGAATGCGGCAGTGCAGGGCGGAGCAGGGCGTTTGCAGTGGGCGGAAATGTAGGTGGTGTGCTGGAGGTGGTCTCTGGGTAATTCAAACTGACAGACTGACAACAATGAGAACAGCGGGTTTGACGGCGGCTCTCATTTGATGCTGATGGGGCTTTATTGAAATATTGCAGCGGTTTTGATTTTAATTCCTACATCGAGAAATACTTTTAATGAAGATCCAACCGCAGGTGTGGGTTCAGATTGTTTGACTCCGCGGCAGAGGAGCTCGGGTTCAATTGAACCGACTTTCCGGGACGGATATCCTTGGGCCCATATCGATCTGGCCATTATGCGGAGTAATTTTTCCCCCTGGCCAATTTAAGATAATTTAATTTGCCGTCTGTAAACGGGAATTGTTTTATGTGCGATCCAGCAGCAGGCAAGGACAACTCCCCAAGGAGTCGTCCGACGACAAAAGCTTCAATCAAAAGCCCCAAAAACTTTGAACTGAACTTTGTCTTAGCCGCAGCCGCCTCGGTCCCTCGCATCTATGCCCTGTTGCGTTAACCTTTTATCCCTTTCGACTCTGTCCTCCGACCCCGGTACAATCCATTGTGGTCCGGCTCCGTGTGTGCGGCTTAGCCGGGAAAGCCATCTAAGCCAATAACCAAGTCAAGGAGGTCCGTCCTCCGGCGCCGTGCAGCTATCGAATTTGCTAAAGTGTTGCGACTTCCCTGGCCCATTGTTGGCAATTCACATTTTATATTTTTGTGTACTTTGTAGCATCTTTTCGTAGGCAATTTTCCCGGGTATTTTTCACACACGAGTTGCCAAACATATGTACGTATTTCTCCGTTTTCCCCCCTCACGTTTCCCATGCGTTTCGCTTCACTGAATCCCAATCCATGGGATTGATGACAGGCAGACCCGTTCCCGGAGATTGGGGCCGAGAAGGGATGGAGCCATTCTGTGCATGATTTCAAGCATTGCACATTGACGTGCCTCAGTTAGCCGAATTTCCCCATTCGGTCTATTGTTGCTAAAGTGCCTGATGGCCAACGACTCGTTGGGCTTGAGCTACTATGTGGGTTGTGTGGACGGAGGACAAAGGGCGAGCATTTTCCCAGGGATTGCCGTTCACCCATCAAGTTTTTGATGAATTACAAGGGTAAATGAGGAGGGATTGCAGCACAAGCCTGGTAGAAGAACACCAATTGTTTGGGATAATTTTAGATTGCAGGCTTATTGAAAGAAAATAATGAGATTTAGGAGGATAGGTTACAAATATATTATATTTGAGCAATAATTCGGTTATTTACGAGGAAAACTTATTATATAACATACAGAAGTGTAAATTTTATTTATTTCTCTAATATAGATTTAAGCCCAAAATATGTTTTATTAATGTAAGTTATTTAGATTAAAAATATATTTTATATATGTAACTTTTTGTCTTTCGTATTACCTTATTATTTTACCCATTTAATACTTTTTAAATAAAAGATACTTATTAGAGAAAGCATTTAAAGAAAACCAATTAAAAAAACACTTCAAATTTATCAAGAAACTCTGTATGCGTATATATTCCATTAAACAGGGAGGGACCACACCAAAGCTATATTTTTATCCAGCTCAGTCGGTGGTCACATTGAGCTCTGTGTAACAAGGAGATAGTTAAGACCTGTGTTTACGAGGGCAAAAGATGGGGAACAGGCACCTGCTTTCAGGGCCTCGTTTATATTATCGCTCAATGGGGCCAGGGCGAATATATACAGGACATAGAAGAAGCCGCCCAGCATAATCAGAAGGACGCCGATGACCACAGACACCAGCACACATTGGGAAGTCTGGACGCTATCCATGGCACGATGGATTAGCGCGGCCACGCCTCAATTCCGATACACCGCACTGCAAACTATTCAGGTTTCATTTTCGCACACTTTCTGGCAGTCTTTAAATTCGGTTTTTACATCACCACAAACTGGAAATCCTTCGGGCATATCCATTGCTTCAGCACTCGACTCCGCCTTGATTTCAGGACATTTAATCAAGTTATTGGCTGTGGGCGGCGGCTCGACTGCTCAGCGGTTGGCGGGTGGCTATCGCGAGTTAAGTTATGCAAACACTTTGTGTGCCACTCCTACAGGATGCTTTGCTTTCTCTATTCTTTTTGCGCACACAAACACACACATACAGACGCACTGGCACACACTCACACAGGGAACTTTTATGGCATGCACACAGGACGAACTTTTATCCCTTTGTTCCTCTGTTTTCACTGACAATTTTGGGTGTTTCTTGTTTTCACTTTTTTGAACTGTCAACTGTGCTGGACTTATAATTGTTGTTTGTTTGTCTGGTAATTTTTTTGATTTTCCACCACTGGCTGCCTGAGCTTTTCGTATCGGATTTCATTGCTGCCAGCACAGCATCATCGCACAGTACAGCATCACATCACCCATACGCACCGTGGCCAAGCAGCAAATGTTGCCTACTTCTCGGCGCCCGCCCAACGCGACGCTCTTCCTTTCACTGGCTTTTCCGGGGCTGGGCAGGACAACGTGGCGCTCTGCGCGTCGCTCGACAACTGGATGAAAAATCCCTTCGTCCAGACAAACTTTTCCTCGGAAATGGCTCAGCTTTTGGGCTTTAAGCTGCCTCGCGGAGCTTTCTTAGCTGGCCCAAAGCTGAGCCACGCCTGCGCCCTGCCATGTAAACACACGGACGGGCTCGTCAAGGAGTGTATGTGTGTGTGTGTGTGTGTAGTGCGCCGCATGTGTTGTTTTTTCTATGCCACTCAGCTGTTTGACGCTCAGCTGACCGCCTCTGTCGACGTCGCAGCAGCAGCGGGCGCAGTCGACGTCGACTTCTGCATCTGTTTGCATGCCGACCACTTGTGGCTTGTCATTTTTTCCGTTGTTTGCTCGGCTTTTCCCACGCATGTGATTCGCTCGCCTCAGCTGCAAAGCTCCGGAGTGGGCTTGACCGCCGCATGCTAATTCACGCACCTGGATTTTTTTGTCGTGTAATTGATTGCTTTTTAAGCACTCGATAATCGTTCACTAAGTAAATACGGCGCTTCTGACAGGCCGATAGCGGTACTTACAGACATTAATCCTCAGAGGAGTCATGTGGCAGTGACAAGGTAATGACACTGTGCCGACAGTGGGATAGGTCAGTTAAGAATTCAATGTTTAAATATATGTAAATAACAGTTTTTAATTTCACTTTACCAATTATAATTAAAATATAATAAAATCACAACAGAAAACAACCCAAAAAAGCTTAGCACAATTTATAAGTTACAAAAATATTGTAAATATGTATATGTGTATGTAAACATACAATTTTAAATTTTGATGACTTGCTACCTAAGCTACTTATTACTTTATGGGATACATAAATTATTAATTTATATTAAATAATTCAATTGATATCAATGCATGTTTAGACAAACTTTTGTCGGTAAAAACGTTTTAAATTGTCTAATAAAATATTTGTTTCTTCACATTGTAAAAAAATAGATAAGCATTGATTAAATTTTACCATGAAACCCTGAATCTGGGAATTCTTTAAAATGAAATTTTGGCTATTACGAAAACGATAGAAATTGTTTTGGTCGAATTGGTTTTGTTTACATCTTTATCAGCTATTTATCGTAAACAAAGAAACGAAAATGTAAGCAAATTAAAAGGTTACATTAGAAGAAAAGAACATTTCGAAATTCTACAGAAATATTCAACAAATTAAGAGTTGTTAAGAATCTTTATGACTCAAGTGACTGATTTAATACCTACTATTTTAGTAGTTTATCACTTGACTAAATACTTAGTCACTATTTAAAATTGAGTCCGCTAACAAAGTTCGTGTTGGTGAAGGGATTTGCCTGAGCGTCCAAACGAGCAGTTGGATTCTGCGTGAGCAAGGAAATCACCCTTTTATACCAGCAACCGTGAACGTTTTTTTTTTTTATATGATAGTAATCTTATTCTTCCTTTATACTGTTAAACTCCCCACCTACCACATTTATTAGAAATTCTTTAATGCTCTCTCGCATACACACATCCGTCGTGCATAATTCATTACCCTAATTTATTCATTCCACCGAAACAAATCACTTGGCTGCCAAGCCCAAACTAATCTGGCTAAGATGAATTCTCAAAGACTTCCCATTTATCGTCCCGAACAAAGGCTTATCGAGCAGGGGACATGCGGGGAACAACTCAGTGCAGCTGGGCGGATGCACAAGTCGCACTATCGACCTTGACCCGGCGTGGAAAATCGCATTAAGCCGAGGACCCGAGCAGATGTGAAATGCGAAATCAAACCTGCACATGATGCTCGGCCCGAAAGTCAGACACTCAGTTTTGACTAATGTCATCCCGTTGCCTACTAACACACTAACCCGGCTAATTCGCAGTGCTGAGGCGTAAAGCATGCGGAAAGAACTATGGCATGAATGGAAAGAATTGCTGAGGGTTTTTTTGAGTGAAAAGTGCATCGGATTCCACTCAAAGGCCGGGCGGAAAAGCGGAAAAGCTTCCGCAAGCTCAGCGCCTTAGCTTTCTGGACCGATTACGACGAACTTTGGCCAACATTTTCGCTGGAGCGCTCGGTGCCTGCAGACCGCCTCGGTTTTCCTCCGTCGGGCCACGGCTACCGAGAACTGAACTGGACTTCAAAGAGCTGCCAACAAATTCCCACAGTTATTATTCATCCGAGATTGTTATTTATTAAAGTCCCGCGGCCGCGTCCAATGATATTTTGTGTGTTTACAAAGCGCCCAAATATTATTTGGAACACGAATACGAGTGGGAATCCAAGTGTGTGTGTAAGTGTTTGCTGCGATGGGATGAAAATGTACACCTGGAAAGGCAGGGGCAGAAGCAGAGGCAGATCCCAGGGAAGGCTTCGTGAGGCGCTGGCAATGCCAGCTTCCGCCACAATAAACCGAATAACGAAAAAAAAAAACAGAAACAAGAAGCAAAAAATAGGCAAATATCTGAGCTCCCACTCGTAGATACTAGGGGCCATGTGTGTGTATCCGTTGTGTGCGATTTTGTTTGGAGCAACTGGCTGGATTATTGTGCTTCGACCGCGTAATTTGATTGAAACGCTTGTTAGCCCAATTTATATTCGAATAAATTTCGTTTTAATTGTCTAACAGCAGGTGGTGGCAGAGATTAGGCCACTCGCTAGTTCGCCCCGACGCCCTTTATTGTGATAAAAAAAATAATTGTTGTGTTGGGAAACAGATTTAATCGTCGTCCGGAAAAACGAAAAGACTCAGCACAACACCCCCGATGCGAATTGAATGGTTACAGGTTGGATGGCCGGATGGATGCCACAGCTGCCAGGATGCCTTTCGAATTCCATGGCCCTTGTCGGGGGCGACAAGCTCCGCGTTTCCTGCCTTCACTCACCCGCCAAACAAGATGAACATATTTGAGCAGCCCAACCACCCTGCTGAGCCGGATTTCGTTGAATTCCCGAACACCACCCACAAAGTGGCTTGGCCAAGAGAGAAATTATGAATTTCTCATTTCCTTGAAATCCTGTGAGTCTTAGGCTAATCAGTGGAGGAGTTTGACAGGAGAGCGGAAAGCATTTCGCAGATCGTTATTGTCAATCAACCTGATTAACTGGAGCCATACATCAATGGAGCCTATAATGCCGACAAAGCTCTTCTCTTATTCGGTTTTTGGTTTTTTTTGGGGGGGTGGCAGCTCATTAGTATGCCCACGATGTTTCGCCTAAAGCAGCCACTAATCACCAGGAACAAATTCGTTGAAATAATAACAAATTGCACATAAATAACTCAGTCATATGGATCATTCGAAATATAAGATTTGGCGGGTCGTAATAATTGAATAAATAAATAAACAAATGTACTGAAATGCCATTTGCATAAATTTCAATCTTTAACTATAAATAAAAAAACTGGCAATGATTTCACTTTCTAGACAATTGAATTTTATATATTATAATTTTCAAGACAGGAATATTTTATATTTACATTTAATAATAGTAAAAAGTAAAGTTAAAGACTTAAAATTCTTATGAATTGACTTCAGTTTCCTCTTAAAAAAAAAGTACAGAAACAAGTCTTATTCAAAGCAAAAACTTTATGCAAAAATCCGGTACATTTTGCTGACATTGACTAGAAACTTTAAACAACTTTTTGGAATCCTTCAAACTAAAATCCCTGTGCAAACTTTTGTGGCACGCTGCCATGAGAGGTTCTTCAACAATGAAAACATTTTTGCTCATACCATCATCATTCTATCCGATTTTTTGCTTTCATTTCGTCATGCAGCCATTATATCTGTAGACAATACAGACAGAAATCATAAAAGCATAGGAAACCTCGACTACAGAAATCGTTAAAAGTGACAACTTTAGTTTGCAGCCAGACACCAACGAGGAATGTTTATTGGAAGCATTAGGCAGACGACTTGGGATCTCGCTAAGGGGTGAGAATATTAAGCATACGCCGGATTGTCCCAAAGCGAGGGTGGAAAGTAATGGGAGCAACTGAGCCCCTGTCATACAGAGTAATGTAGGGTTGGTCGACAAATTGTCCATGAATACTTTATAACCCGCTAAGCCAAAAAGGAAACCAAAAACCGAAATACCCCCAACGCGTTCCCCTGCTATAAGAAAATATGTGGAAGAAGCAATTATAATAAAATGAATATACATATAGCAAGTCAGACAACAAATATCTAATAGTTTTCGTAAGGGAAGTTTCTATAATCTAACAAATGTTACAACTCTTTTAAGACTAAAAAAAAAAATAAAAAAAAAAGTTTTTTTTTTCTGAAAGCTTGTGAAGACATCAGAGACTCTAATAGTTCACAAAGATTGTCCACAGCACAGATAAAATGTCTGATTTATCTTCTGTATATATTTGACTTTGTTAAATATTTGCCTTAGATAATCTTAAACCAAATTTAGACTTAAATAAAAGCGTGTGTAAAAGGTGTCATAAATTCGCACAATTATAATTTTTAGGGTATTATTATTATAGTCAGAAGCTTGACACGCAGTGAAGAATTCATTTTCGATCCTATAAATCATATATATTCTTGATCAGCACCAACAGGCGAGTCCTTCTAGCCATGTCGGAAGGAAAAACAGTTTTTATCAATTTTTTTAAATTTTTAAAAATGTACAGAAATTTGCATTTTTAAAAATTTTTAAATTCAACAAGCAAATTTTTTAATCTAGAAAAACTAGCTTTCCCAATTAAAAATTAATGTTCCAATTCCAGCTGCAAGGGTATACATTTTTCTGAACTCCAAAGCTAGCTTTCTTTCTTGTTTTAACTTAAACCAATTTTATTGTATATTGTAGGAGCTTCTTTGCTGATTCCAGGTCTAGCCGACTAATAAATCGATACAAGAAGATGGTTATATTATTAATTTGTTAGTAATTTGACAGGACAATCCTTCTTTGCAGGGACCCAACAATTATATCAAAACCAACAGACATTTCCCAAATATGAATCGAGTATTGTACCTTAAGATGATTAATTTTGCCAACAATAAACCAACGAAACCTGTAGCATTTAAGAGTTATT